GCAGCAATATGGTAAATGCAGGAACTGCATGTGTCCTTTCTCCACACTCTTTCTGGCCTCCAGGTCTTTGCCTAGTGGTTCTTTGGCACCAACTCCCTCTCCTATCCCCTCCCCTTGGACTGTTTACTTCAAACTCTGCTACAATTTTCCTGAATCCCCCAGACTTGGTTTTTCCTTCCTCTATATTTTTTGAGCACTTTGTATAAACCAAGATATATCGCTTATGTTCCTATATTGCAATGTACCCTGTTACTTGTCTGAGTCTTGCTTTTGATGATGAACTTCCTGAGGGTAGGAAACTATATTTTGCCTCTTTCTATCAGCACAGGGCCTGGTAAATAGTAAGCAGTCCATTCAAGTTTATGGGATAAAAACAAACAGAAAAACACAATAAGGAATCACATCATATAAAGTTCCCAAAACAAAGGCAACACGTTCGGTCCCTGGCATTCTCTGGCCACGTTCTGACAGCCACAAAAGAATGGGGCAGTGTCCCAGGAAGACTTCTAGTTCCCTTCCCAGTCTGACCTTGAACTGTCCGGCCTGATGGATCCTAAGTCAGACAGCATCCCCAGGTACTGTGCAGTGTGACCCCACACCATTATTTCTGGTTTGCGGAGGTTCCTCAGATCTACCAATGATTAATGAGGTGAAGAAGGTTTTACCAACTTCTAAGAGCACACTGAGTTGTAACTTAGTACACTTGCTGCACTTTCTGTAGGAAAAGTGACAACAATGTAGTCAATGTTCTTTTAAAGCATGCACATTTTTTTCTCAAGAAGTTCAAATAAGAAAAAAAATGTAAAAATCATCTGTAATCCCTCTATTCAGAGTTAATCATTGATAACATTTTAGAACGTTTATTGTTAATTTTGAAAATGCTGTACTCCCATTGTAAAAATATAAACAATTCATAAGAACCTAAAGTAAAACATAAAGGAATGATGCCTGATTCCACTCCCCAGAGTTATCTACCATTAATATTTGGTTATAGTTTTGTCTAGCCTTTTAAAAAAAGACTATAAAACAACTCATAAAAAAAAATCACAAGATCTCAACAACAGCAATGGAAGCAAATAACACAATTCCACACAAAAAATCCCCCTAAAATTCACCTACTATAATCAACTTCTTTTTAAAAATCCTAGTCATGTGTTTTTTTAAAAATATATTTTGTGTTGACTTTAGAGAGGAAGGGAAAGGGAGAGAAAGATAAAAACATCAATGATGAGAGAGAATCATTTTGCCTTCTGGATTAGGAATCTAGTAAAGGTATTGAAGGGTTGCACGCTCCACACTGGGGATCATGGCAATCCGGCCCTTGACCAGAATTGAACCTGGGACCCTTCAGTAATTTTTAAAAAATATATGTTTTTATTGATTTCAGAGAGAGGATGGGAGAGAGGGGGGGATAGGAACAACAATGATGAGAGAGAATCATTGATAGGCTGCCTCCCACACTGACTGGGAATCAAACTGAGACCTCCTGGTTCATAGGTCGATGCTCAACCACTAAACCACACCAGTTGGGCCCTGCTCATGCTTTTTATGAAAAGCTAAACTAATCATGTGAGCGATGTGCTTTGTAACTGCTCATGAGCCCTGTGGGGCTCAGAGATTCAGTATGCAGTGTATGAGGACAATGGGATGGATGAGAGCTCACCCAATATTTTGTCAGCATTGTGTGGTTACCCTATCATTCCTGCATTTTATAAATGGTGAAAAAAACAAAGGTGAAAACCATCTTAATCCATCTTTATAGTGAGTGGCTGAACTAAGTAAAGAAACCAGAAGTCTTGAGTTCCTATTTCTGGTTTCTGCTCCCACTTCTCATCTCAAAAGACAGCTATGTGGCACTGTAAGTGATAGCTTGGATAAATAAATAGTATGCATGAAGTGATTTTATTTAATCTCCAAGGTTAAACAAAGTTCAAAGTGAAGCCATAGAGTTTACCTGTCAATATAGCCTTCATTGTGACTATTTTCAAGAATATAGACTTTGTGGCCAATTTATTTTCTTTAAACATACTCTATGCATACTTTCCAGAATCAGCTACTGCACTGGTCTTGAAAAAGTAACTTCCTTACTTCTGCAGAAATTGGTTGCATTTGCGAAACAGGTAAAAAGGTTAACATCTAAAATGAATTTTGTATTTGCCTATCGACTTTCATGATAGTGCAGAAGATATGAAATTCACAAAGTGAGAATGTCACAGTTCAGCTCTACCCTTGGATTTTGCTTTTGGGAAATATTTTTACCATCATCTTCTTGGATGTGTGATAGCAGTGGAAGCCCAGCAGTTTCCAGACCTCTGTATTACAACCATGGTGACACGACTTTGAGCCCAAAAGTCTAGCCGGCAGCATGCTTTTCAGTGATTTTGTAAATATCAAATCACCATTTACTTGAAATGCCTCAAGTGGTTTCTACTTTCTATACTGAATCTTTTCAGGTAAAAAAATAAATAGAATGCAATTGTTGCCCTTATGCAACTTACTGTTAGGGGAGACAGACAAAATTTGATTAAGAATCTAGAAAAGGTATGGATGGAAAAGGTGCTGTGGGGGGAAAGAGTGAGAGCATGGTGTGGTGAAGGGGCATTTCAGTTATCTGTGCCACAGAGCAAACCACCCCCAAACTTAGGGGCTCATTTTTTTCACTTTTGTGGATTGACTGGACAGTTCTGTTGGTCTCATGTCCTGCAGTAAGATGGTGACTGTGGCTGGAGTTTTCCGGAGGCTCATCTGGGACCCTGGGTTGGTGGGCCTTTCTCCCTCCCCATGTTTTCTTAGAGCCTCTCCTCTCCAAGCAGCCTCTTCATGTGGCACTCCTCGTAGTCTTTCCAGCACGGTGGCTGGGGTTTTGACATGTAGTCTGGGGCTCCCCCAAGCACACACATGGGTCTTCCTAAGTGTTTGGCCCAGAACCAGCACAGCACCAGTTTTGCTTCAGTTTCCTGGTTGAAATGAGTCACAGGCCCAACCCAGATTTCACATGGATAGGGACTACACAGATGTGGATACTAAGAGGCATGCTCCATTGGGGGCTGTCTTGGAAACTAGCTACCACGGAAGGACACTGCGGAAGTTGGGATGTTTCCTGGAGAACATCCAATGACTGATGAGGTAACAGACTTGATTAGAAGATCCAAAGCCTAGCATAGCTATTACTCCATAAATGTTAATGTAAAGAATAATGGAAGAAAAGAAGGAAGGAAGGATAACATAGGAAGTATAAGTTGGTGGGCCCGTCTAGCTAGAGGCAAAAGAACATTGTTTAGTGGCAGTACACTGGGCTTCAGGACCTGCATGTCTGGGCTCAAGAAGGCAGAGGTCTGAGAGTCCAGGCTGGGGAACTTAACTTGACCCTTCAGACTATGGAGGCTACTGACCAGTTTTAGGTAATGGAGAGGCACTGATCATATCCACATACAGAAAGAGCTCTCTCTGGCCTAAGTGTGGGGGTGGCCTGGGGAAGATGGTGCTAGAGATGAGACCAGTTAGGCTGTTGCAGGGACCTGGTGAGGAAGCAAGAGAGTGTTTGGAAAAGCTGGGGCCAAGGGGAAGCAGAGGAGGACACAGACTGAGGGAGTCCTGAAAGAGAGAATGAACAGATCCAATAGTCTGTGATTTGTGATGTGACCAAAGGGTTTGAATACATATGAGGACATTTACCTTAGCTGCATTTTCCTCCATACATTTATTATAAAATAACACATTATGTGAATATATATATATATATATGTATGTATATGACTTTAAAATAAACACAACATAAGAAATAGTATGTTCCCAAACTTTGTGATATAAAACGAATGTGAACTTTGTGCTGCTAATGGAGTAAACTGCCACTACCAGAAGCACTGCCAGGCTCTCCCTGAGGGAACAGGAAGCTGAAAGAAAGAAACAAGTCCTTCCCCCAGCCTTCAGCTTCCAAGCCTCCTCTAGTGCCTCCTACAAATCCCAACCAGTAGCAAGTTGTCAAATGAGAAATGTACTAGTTTTCAGTCTCAGCTCAGCTCCCACATCGTAAAGGAGAGCTCTGAAGGGTGGGTTTGAGGCTGATAAATAAGAGCTCAACAATCATATCTGGATGTAAAAGTATTTGACATGAGCTCCCTTCTCCTCCCTCCCCCAATTTCTCTTTCATTTCTAGCTCAACTTTCTCCCTCCAAATAGGATTGAGTTAGTTTCCAGTAAAGGCACATACTGAATAAGACATTTAAACCAAAAAAGGTTTAAAATAGATAAAGATCATGCACATTCAGAACAGTGTTTTCAAAACTCTGTAGGCAACCAAAGTAAAAATATTATGACTTCTTAGACATAGACACATATAACCTAAAAAAGTTTCCTGAAGGAACCCTTATCCTCACTATGCGTAATGCACTCTGATATTTTCAATTTTATTTAATTTTTAAAGTCTGATAATGCCCGATGGGTGTGGCTCAGTGGTTGAGCATTGACCTATGTACCAGGAGGTTACAGGTTCGATTCCCGGTCTGGGCACATGCTGGATCCCCAGTGTGGGGCGAGTAGAAGGCAGCTGATCAATGATTCTCTCTCATCATTGATGTTTATATATCTCCCTCCCTCTCTGAAATAAATAAAAAAAATATTTTAAAAAGAAAGATAACAATCCACTGAACTGACTTCATTAGTTACTAATAGGTTGCAACCTACTGTTTGAAAAACACAGATTTATAGAAAGGGGAGGTCCAGTATTTTATAATTATATAGAACATTTGGGATCTATTTTTCTATCAGAAAGTACTTTCCACATACATTATTTTATTTAACCCTGATAACAATCCTGTGAAGTGGGTTTACTAATGAGAAAAGGGATTTAAAGATACCAAGTCATTTGCCACATAGTTCAGAAGGGTGATTAATGGTGAACACAGAACTGGAAGTCAATTTTTCTGACTAAAAATCTCAGCCTCCCTCAATATGCTATGTCAGGATGAGAGACATAGTTCAGCTCTAACTGAATAGGAATTTTAGTCTTGAGCTTTCTGATAGACAAAGCAGACCACGGGTTGTGTAGCACTCTGTCTGATTTCCATGTTCATGTCCTTATTTGGCCAGAGACCCTTCTCTTTCTCCTCCACTGGATCTGAAGACAAATTGGCAGCATGAATGTTGGTTTGTGTTTTACCAAAATCTGTTTGTGTCTCTGTCCAGAGAAGAAGTAATCTGCTGTAGAAACTTCTGGTCTAGAAAATTAGGCTTTCAACGTGAACAAAAATAAACCATGAACTTGTTTATTGCAATAAATTCAATTTCATAGACTTTTCAATATTAAAAAAAGTTGAGTGTTATTTTGTACATTTTATTGGGGTCTAGAGCTGCTCAAGTAGAAATAGTTCCATGTAATATATCAATTTCAAATTGACAGTATTTCTAGACATATCTAGAGGTGTGAAGCTTCTGAATTTTTTAGAGCATGTATAAATAAGAGAAATGATTTTCAAATTCCCCTTCCATTAGAATTCAGACTAATTTAGAATTCAGAAAAATTGTACAACTTATTTAAACAATAGACAGAAGAATTATTGTTACAATCTTTGTTGTGTGATGGTCACTAGATGTGAGAGCTCAGTGTGTTCTGTAATGCAGACAGGAATCTTGCATGCATGCTGATGATATGGCATATACAGGGTGTCCCCAAAACAGGTATACACATTTTAACAACTGATAGCTCAATTAATGCTTCTTTCTTTTCAGCCAGACTAAGCTTTGAACAAAGAATATTTATCCACTAAACATTTTTATGGGGATACATTAAAGATAAAGTTTATGGAACAAAACCGGCAACAGTTGATGAATTGAGGGTGCAGAAATACCAAACGAAATAATTCTTGATGCTTGCAATTCCATTGTTTTGGGTTATCAGCAGTCCCTGGACCAGAATGGTCATTTGTTTGAAAACAGGTGTTGACAAAAAACAAAACAAAACAAAAAAACACATGCATTCATTTCTGTAGATGCTTTTAAATTTTAAAAATGAAGTGTATGCTAATAAACCTGACTTTATAATCATCCAAAGTGTGAATACATTTTGGGGGACACCCTCTGTTTAAGGTGTTCATATGCTCTGTGTGGAATGATTTGAAGCAATTCAACTTGAAGTTGAATTATAAAATGTTTTATAAAATTATAATAGGCTAGTCAGCGGTGGGCAAACGATCCGGCCCGTTTGAAATGAATAAAACTAAAAAAAAAAAAAAGACCGTACCCTTTTATGTAATGATGTTTACTTTGAATTTATATTAGTTCACACAAACACTCCATCCATGCTTTTGTTCCGGCCCTCCGGTCCAGTTTAAGAACCCATTGTGGCCCTCGAGTCAAAAAGTTTGCCCACCCCTGGGCTAGATCTATCTATGTTTTCAAAGGCCATGACATTTTGTTTATAGGGAAAAATAATTTTAGTGAAACAAATAGTAATAGCATTTTATTATGCCCATTCTAGCTCTTGATAGCACACTTTAACACGAGAACCTGGCATTGGGGAGTTATCACTAGGTAGCCCAAGACATACACATCAGCCAGTCACTTTCTCTCGTAGAACAGCTGTTGGGAGCCACTGTTTACAGAGCGTGACCTCCCTTCCTCCCCAGAGTTGTCTGCAGGTCCCTTCCCAGCTCCACTCCAGCTGCCCAGGGAGCAGTTTCCTGAACGGAGTCTGCACCACTTTCTTTGCTGGGAGGCCTTTGTGCTTCCTGCTGCTCTGCCTCAGTTTCCCATTAGATGTTTTGCTCCAACATCTAGCTTGTCAGCGTTGGGTTTGAGTAAAATTTGGTTCAGTGTCAACCCAGAATTTTTCCTCTTTTGACCCTTCCTCAGGAGGGTTTCTATGAAAGACTTCAATTTTGAACTTGTTTCTTAGAAAGAAAAAAAAATGAAATCCTTCATGTCAGCTTCTACCGAAGTTCTAACCTATGTTTTCTAAAGACAGCTTTTCCTGCGTTAAACATGTCAACACAAAGACCTGAGGCAGCTACCTGAAGAGATGGTTTGCACGGCAGCAATGTCATTAGACACTTGAGAGATGGCCGTCCTGAATGCACTGAACGGAATTGGCTGAAGGAGAGGATGTGGAGAGGGTGACAGCACTAGATGAAGGGGCCAGAGTATTCTGGGAAATCAAAACCAACTGTCTTTGTTGTTCAAAAGGAGAAATTTGGGGAACCCAACCGACTCCTATTTACTCTGGTAAATTCGCTGATAGCCAATCCAATCTCCATGACCCGGCTTTTTAAAAATTGTGAGCGCTCCCCGCAAGCACCGCACAGAGTGGAAGCCCAATAAATGCTGCTGAATCCATTCAGACGCTGGTCTGAAAAGTGCCAGTGAACTCACCGTATGGAACCTGCTAACAAACGATAGGCTGAACCTGAAACAATCAGCATCTCCCAGATGTTATTGCAACGTATGGTTTTAACTTTTTAAAAATCCTCACCCGAGGATATGTTTTTATTGACTTGAAAGAGAGAGGAAGAGAGAGGGAGAGAGAGAGAAACATCAATATGAGAGAGAAACATTCTGCACGCACCTCAACTGGGGTTGAACCTGCAACCTGGGTATGTACCCTGACCGGGAATCGAACCCGCGATTCCGGGACTTTTCCGTGTATGGGATGACGCCCCAACCAACTGAACCACACCGGCCAGGGGTGCATTTAGGTTTTAAGGTGAGAAATTCTTTAGTCAACCTACAAGGAGAAACATATCGCAAAAGAAAAGGCGTGTTGCTGCTGTTTTGCCCGCGCCATTGCGGGCGCTGTTCGGTGCCACATGATCACAAGGAGTCAGTCCCGCAGCTCAGGGTCCCGCCCGCGCCGGCCAGGCGCTCCCGGGTCTCCGATCCCCGCTCCCACTCTCTCGGCGGCTTCTGTGGGAGAGGGAGTGTGGCGGGGGCCC